TACTGGTGGTCTTTCTGAATTCAGCTGCCTTCAGGACCTTCTACACACAGTAGAAGTGAGCTTTCTACTTCTTGAAACACTCCACCAATGATTTTTTCACTTTTAATTTTTCACCTGTTCCAAGTTGTTCTCTCAGCAATCTTCTTTATTTTAGTCTCAGCCCCAAAAGTCCATTTCTCTAGGAAGTTGTCCCTAATTCCCCTCGAGAACCTAAGACTGGGATTGAAGCATTCCTACTACAAGATGGATATCAGCCACACTGTGTGGCAACTCCCTCTGCACTAGACTGCACCTTTGTGGCAGGATATCTGTCTTATTTCACACTGAATCTCAGAGGTCTAGCATAGTACTTGTTAACTAACAGGCGCTCATAAATATCATGTAAGGAGGGAAGAAACAGGTGAAGGAAGGATTAGGATGGGCAGAGGAAGTGACTGAAATATAAGGAAGCAAAAATAGTTGAAAAACAGCTTCAAGAACTCTGAATGTGAACAAGAAGGGGAAGATGGGGTGGCAGAGCTTCCATGGGAGCATGTGACTAGAAGGAGAGAAAGTAAGAGGTAAAGAGGCTCAGTGTGATACAGGCTGAGAGAAAGAATCAGCAAGAGGCAGATGCAGCAGCTTGAGATGTAAGAAGAAAACAGAAGATCTAGGGGAAAAATGTCCCAGATAATCAGATATTTTAGGGAACATAATATTTTCTTTTGGAGAACTTAATGTCAGTGTGCCTATGTTTGTATCTTGTGATTATTTTATTTTATTTATTTTGGTATGGGGATTAAACTCATAACCTCACGCTTGCCAGGCAGGTGCTTATAGTGCTGAGCTAAATCTCCAGCCCACTTGTGATGATTTTAAAATCTTGCTTTGTTTTCTGCTTACTAGCTTTCTTAACTGACTAGATTAGTCATATCCAGTCAAGTGTTAAGTAGGAGATAATCAGAAGTATGAAACAGCCTAGATGTCCATCAATCAAGACACAATGTAATATTACTCAGCCACAAAGAACAACAGTAATTTAGAGAAAAATGGATTAATGTTGAGACTATAATGTTAAGTGAAATAAATCACACACATAATTAAATAGATTTTTCTTATATGAACATCCCAAAATATAATAATTTAAAGAGAAAAAAAAAGTTGGTAAGCAATAAAGAGGTAAAGCCAAACATGGTAGCACATGCCTGTAATCCCAACACTCAGGAGGCTGAGACAGGAGGACCACTGCAAGTTTGAGACCAACCTGGGCTACAAAGTGAGCTGAAAGCCAGCCTGAACTGCATAGCGAGACCTGTCTCAAAAAACAAAAAATAAATAAATAAAACAAAATAAAGACGTAGACATTTTAGAGATGCAGAAATGGATCTAAGGAAACAGAGAAATGGAAGTGCTAGGGAAAGAGGTTAAAATGATCGAAATACTATATTTGTATTACTAATTGTCCAAAATGAATGTAAATATTATGTATATCAAACATACTAATAAAAACAGGAATTGTTACTTTTGTGTTCTTAAAATAACAGAATTGATTTTACTTAAACTGACATTGAAACTTAAATCCACAATTTAAAAACTTTTAGCCCCTGGTAGTAATCATAGGATCTGTTGACTATCCCAAAGGTTATTGAAAGAAAATTGAGAATTGATATCCTGCCAAACAAGACAAGTCACACAGCATACTGATGAGCATGAAAGACCATCAGTAAATTAGTCTCACTGATACAAATCCTCAATTATCTACAGAAAATACCGTGGAAGAATTTTTTCCTCTAATGAACAAATTGGTATAGTTCCCACTTATTCCATATGTGATAGGTTCAAATATCTCATGTTAATGATAGAGGAAATGGAGGATAAAAAGTAATGTATATCATATTCTTTTACATCTTCTAGAACTTTGCATATAAAAGCAAATGGCTGGAATAGCCACTACATTTGGTCTAAAAATACCATTCCTAAACATCTGAACACATAGCTGATATTAGTAGAAACTACTACTTAAGTATCAGAATTTGCAAAGGAAAAGGTATCTGAATAGTCAAAGGAAATAAACAAGACTTCTGGGAAGATGACATAGTGATGAGCAGCAGAAAAAGATCCTCCCTTAGATTTGGTGAAAGATCTGAAGCATGAATGCCTAACATAGGAAAGAAATGGAATCCATAAAACAGATTCAAAAATATCCAGGAGATTAAAAATTCCAATTGAAAGTTCATGCAGCAGAATGAGCCAATATGAGGATGGGTCTTAGATACAGAAGATAGGATGACAGTTAACAATCACAAAAAAAGGTTTCTTAAAAATAGTAAGAAATCACACAAAAACAATGCAGCAGCTGCTAGGTGATGCAGATAAGTATAACATAAGATTGATTAGAGTTCATGAAAAAGCAAGGGATAATGTAAATGACATAAAAATGTGTACACAGACATCATTGCAGAAAATTCTCTGGCAGGAAAACAGACTTTGATATCAGATAAGTAAGGCATATAAAATTCCAATTAGCCATAATCAAAAAAACTACAACAAGGCATATAATAGGCAAGATTCCAGAAATTCAGCACAAGACTATAATATTAAAAGCTGTTAGGGAAAAGAAACAAATTACCTGTAAAAGAAAGCCCATCAGAATCATGGGTGACTTCTCAACATAAGTCAAGAAGAGCTTGGAGTGAAGTATTTCAAACCTTATGGAAAACAACCTCCAACCAGATTGGTGGACCCCACAAAACTATCTTTCAGAATTGATGGAGAAATAAGATACTTCCATGACAAAGAACACCTGAGGAAATTTGTGAATACAAAAATAGCCATTCTGGAGGACATTGTAGGAAGAGACAATAAAGCTTTCAACTCCATGAACCCTGGTAGGATGAATCCACTAGGCAAGGCAAACAATTAAATAAGAGAGGGGGGAAAAAAGAAGAGAATCCAACAATGGGAAAATACCATGACAAGGGTAAGTCAGTACATATCAATTATAATCATCAATGTTAATGGTCTCAATTCACCCATCAAAAGAAACAGAGTGACAAGATGGATCAAGAAGCAAGACCCAACAATATGCTCCATGCAAGAAACAAATTTAATTCAAAAAGAAATTCATACACTGAAAGTCAAAGGATGGAAAACAAAACTCCTGTAAAAAGAATAATATAAAAAAGAGGAAGACATAACAATTGTAAATATATGTGCACCAAATACCAGTGCACCCAACTATATAAAACAAATATTAATGGACATGGAAAATCAAATAAGCACTAATGCAATTTTAATGGGGGACCTCAGTAACTCCCTGTCACAAATACATAGATCAATTAGACAAAAAAATCAACAACAAAATATTAGAACTGAACCAAACTTGTGAACAAATGGATTTAGTACATGTCTACAGTGTTCCACCCCATAACATTAGAATACACATTCTTCTGAGCTGCATGAGACATTTTCCAAAATATATCATATGCTAGTTCATAGGACATGCTTAAGTAAATGAAAAGGAATTGAAATTATCTCACGCATATTATCAGACATAATGCAATGAAATTGGAAATTTGTGGTAAAAGAAACCAAAAGAACTTCATAAACACATGGAAATTAACACTGTACTGAACAATCAATGGATAATACATGAAATTAAAGTGGAAATTAGACAGTTTCTACAATTAAACAATAATGCCAATACAACATACCACACTTTATGGGGCACAATGAAAGCAGGCCATTGAGGAAAATTTACAGCAGTAAATACCCATATCAGGAAAACAGAGCAAACGCAAATAAACTACTTAATGTTGAAACTCAAGCTTCTAAAAAAAGATCGACTCAAGTTCAAAGCTCATACAAGGGAGGAACTTATTAAGATCAAAACAGAAATTATGCAATTCAGACTACAAAAGCAATACAAAAAAGCAATGAATCAAATAGTTGGTTCTTAAAAGTTTTAAATTGAAAAATAAACCCATGCAGTTAGGAATTAAAACAGTGAAGTCACAATAGATGCTGCAGAAATCCAGAAGATCATCATTATTCACTTTGAGAATTATATTCTAGAAGGATGGAAAATGTAGAATGGATAGGTTCTTAGATATAAAGAATTACCAAAGCTGAATCAAGATATAATAGTTCTAAATAAACTAATATTTCTTAATGAAATTGAAAGTGTAATTAAAAATCTGCCAGCAGAGCCAGGGATTTGCTTAGCAGTGTAAACACCTGCCTGGCAAGTGAGGTCCTGAATTCATCCCCATTACTAGAAAAAAAAAAAATTAACAACAAAAGAAAGTCCAGGATCTGCCAGATTCTCTGCTGAATTCTGCAAGAAATTTAGAGAAGACTTAATACCAGTATTTCTCAAAGTCTCTAATGAAATTGAAAGAGAAGTAATATTCTCAAGATCATTCCTGAAGAAAGCATTACCCTGATAAAAAAAAGAAAAGAAAAAAGGACCCAACCAAGAAAGAGAACTACAGGGCAATCTCCTTACTGGACATAGATGCAAAAATCCTCAAGAAGTTACTAGCAAACAATACAGCAAATCATCAAGAAGACTATATACCATAACCAAGTAGGATTCATTCCAGGGATGCAGGCATGGTTCAACATATACAAATCAATTAATATAACAGCATATTATCAAATCCAAGGACAAAAACCCATACGATAAGTTTAAATGGAAAGGGGAACTGGGGAGGGGCTTGGAGGAAAGGAAGGAAGAGAAAAGAAAAAAAAATGATGAGAAAACAGGGAAAATGGAAACAAAGCTTTTGTAAATAAGGAGAGAAAAAGAGATTGAAGGGAGGGAAGGGGAATGGGGGGGGAGGAATTCAGTTACATTGTGTACAGGTACAAATTCCCTACAGTAAATGTAGTCATTATGTATACCTAAAATGTATCAATAAATTAATAACAAAAACCAAAGTTACACACACACACACACTTTTTCACAAAACAGGAGAAGCCAGATCATCTTAACAAATCAAGAAGAAAGTCCCACCTACCTGGTGACGGCCCGGGTGCAGATGGTAACAAGGAAACAGCCAGCCACGATCATCCAGCCCCAGCCTCCATCCGGTGGGGAGGCGGGCCCAGCTCTATTTACTTTTGCCATGGTTTTTATTTGTTTCTTCTTTTCCAAGTTATTCCAACAGCAAGTTATGATCCTGGACAAGTCTGCTGCTCGTGTCTTCCTGTTAGCATTCAAGACTGGCATAGAATGCTACCTGGCACACAGGTTACTGGCCATCTAAAACCAAACATATGGGCATATTTATATTTTATTGTTATGTCCAAAGATAGATTTTTAACTTGGCTAGAATTGATCATTAGTGTCCTATTAATATGACTATTTGTATCCAAATGTGGGTGTGACCTGTGCCTTGATTCTAACCAACAAAACAGCACAAGTGATAGGCCACGACTCCCATGATCACATCAAGTTATTGAGACACAGTCCTGCTTCTCGCACTCTCCCATGGGGCTTAAGGAAAGAGTCACGGTGCACGCTGCCCACGCCGAGGGCCAGAGGACTGTGGGCAGCCTTTGGGAACCAAGCGCAGCCCCTAATCGACAAGGAAAAAAAGTATCAAGGCCTAGCATGTACTTGTACCAGTTCCCCACCAATGAATATATTTAGTATGTTTTGAAAACATGAATTCTTTTAAAAGTAGGAAAAAAGAAAAAAAAAAAAAAAGGTAAACTCAAGGGGCTTTTTTTTCTCCTATATCTCAAGTGAGGTTAGAAGCAGTTCCTTCCTTGGTTGCCCCTCCAGGTAAAGCAGTCTAGCTAACACAGATTCCAGGTGTGTGAGGCTGTCAGCCAACGACCGTGCGATATTAGGACTTGATTCTGGTGCCCTAGAAATTGCAAGATAAATTGTTTCTTAAGGTATTCCTCAGTATGTTAAATAGCCTTCCTACTTACAGTTAATGACTCATTTTTAAGGGGCAAAATAAGAGTTTTGGTTAATACTTTTTCTTCTAGACAATAGTCCAGTTGTTGATACAATTTTATAAGGATTACCAGAAGAAATCTGAACACTAATGAAATTAAATATCATTTGAAGTACAACAAAATGTGTACTATTTGGTGAACATATACTATTGCTACCATATACTGTGTAACTTGCAGGTAAACCAAACTAACTAATGAGCTGTGTGTTTAGGAATAGAGTTCTCTTAAGAAAATGACTTGCAGTAGATTTTACAAGATTGAAGCTCTGGACCTGGGTGCCTATCGGTTCAGAGAGGAAATATCAGCGAGGGTAACACGGCAACAGTGATCCCCACGCTCTATCAAGCTGTGATCTCGCTCCTCATCTTATCAGCCATCCTCAGACTTGGGGACAAAGGAAGCAGCAGACAACTGAAGATTACAAATTCATCACAAGTACTGGAAAACCAGTATTGATATAAATGCTAGATATTAGTTGATAAAATAAAAATTATTACTGTAGGAAAATGGGCAGACTTTAAGATCACAATGTTAAGTGAAGTAAATCAAACATACAAGCTTAAACACCTTACAGTTTCTTTTACATGAAAAACCCAATATATAAAGTGAAAAAAAGGCAGCAGGAAAAAAGTTAGAAAAAAATTTATAATCCAGAATAGTCAATGTATCTAAAATTGCACATTGCTTTAATAAAACTGTTTTATGTGGTTTATGTTTTGTTCAGTTAGCCTGGTTTTTAATCTGTGCTTATGATAATTATCTTGATAAACTCATATAAAATAAATAAATCTGATAGTGACAACGAAAACATTTTAAAAAGAATTGAGCTGTTATGTACATGTACCTATTTCCCATAATGAATGTAATTATTCTGTAATACAAACATATGCTGATAAAAAAGTTTCGTAAAAATGTTATTATTGGACATTATAACATCATTATCACTGGCCTAGGCACTGAAAAATAGTCAAAACGCTGATTTGGAAGCATAGTTCAAACAACAATATAGAGATACCATTTATAGAGAACTTTCCACAGGCCAACCTGCCATTAAGTGACATTAAAGAGAGTATCTCATTTAACCTCAAAACAACTGTTGAATGTAGGTAGTATTACCCTGTTTTATAGGGAAAGTAGCTTTGGCTAGAAAAATTAAGTAGTGTGCTCAACTATTATTAATACTGGTCAGCCACTAAAATGGTATATGAACCTTCGTGTGATGGCAAGGCCACTTCTAATGAATGTCATACACCACCTGCCACCACATTTCCTCATTATGTGGTATAAATTCATAAATATTGTTGTCAAATCTTACACAAATTCTCACTCAACAGATGACATGAATTGCTGATACAGCTAATGCGACTTTAAACGGTACTATTTCTATTTCCTAAAAAACATGTCCATAAAAAAAAAAAGTACATAGATTACTGACTTCTTGGTTGTAGAAGTATCTCTAATTTCAGAGTAAGCCCAGTCTCCCAAAGGAGTCACCGCCACCCTGGCGCCTCAGGATTGGTCCCTCGAACACATATCTTTATGTTATGAATAAGCAGTTTTAGCAGTCTACTACTCTATTCCCTCAAATTTAAAAAGATTCCATACTTACAGATATACTGCTTCTTGCAGCAGATTTCACACGTCCTCCGCTGGTTTCAGTGAGGTGCCTATCATCTCTTTCCAGTGGACACTGCTTTAAGGAACGGGCTGTGATTGTTCCCTCCTATCCTTTGTCAGGGAGTGGTGAGGGATGGGATGTGAAGGAACTCTATCCAATGAGCTATGAGGAGATATCTTTCAGGAAAAAGCTAGCCTCTCTTCTTCTTGTAGACATTTCAGATCTGGACATTATATCTAAAAGGACAGTATCTCATTGGTCACATGAAGGAGGCTTGCCTGAGAACAAAGTCAGCGAGCTGAAGACTGCATGATAGACAATGAAAAGAACCTAGGAGCTTAGTGACTTCATTGATCTACTAATCAGCCAACCTGGAGCCTCACTTTCTAACCTGTTAGAGACGTTTGTTTGCTTTTAATGATACTACTTTATGACTTCCTTTTTTTACTTTATTTTTAAATATTTTTATTTATTAGCATATATTTGTGGTGCATAATGTTTATGTTCATTATAGGGACAGGACATCTTAATTCCTTCTCCCAAAGTAAGCCAAACAGATCCTCTGACAACAGTGTGCTAAGGCCAGCTCCAAATGCTTGCCATTTCTCTTGGTTGTTCAGTTATACTGGTGGCCATAGTAGATGCACTTACACTATAGAAACCATAAACTGGCAAACTATACATCAAAGCTTTTATATCTCTCAAGACAATCAGTTATTAAACAATTGTGTGCATACTGATGCAACCTCAAGGTAACTTAAAGTGTATACAGTAAATATTTCTAAGAAATATTAATTAAAGACAGAAAACTGATAAAGAATGTAAACATCGATTGTGAGCTCTCAAATTAACTAGCTTGCTACATTTTCAGCAATGTAATTCACCTTTTAGGGTTGGGATAGGCAAGCTACACCCCTCAGGTAAAATATGGACACTGCCTCTTTTGGTTAATAAAATTCCACTGAAACACAGCTACATTCTTTTCATTTGTCCTTGGTAGCTTGAATACTTGAAACAAAGAGCATGTTGCCCACAAAGCCTGAAATATTTATTACCTGCACTTTGACAGAGAAAGTTTGTGGGCTCCTGTTCTAGGGTGTTTAGACATGATTCCAAATATTTCCTTAGTTTCTTATCTGATGCTTTTGTTCTGGAATTTGTTATTTTGTTTTGATTTTTTGCTGAAGAGTGCAATCTCTTACCAGAATCCTAGGTGGAAACCTAGGCTGAACAATCTGTCCCTCTCCTCAGGAATTATTTACATCAACCCTTATCAGATCTCACATGTGAGTTACTGCCTCCAACCACTGTTAGTCAGCTTTCTGTTTCTGCAACAAATACCAGAGGTATTCAATTTATAAAGAGAAAAATATTTACTTTGGCTCACAGTTTTGGAGGCTTCAGTTCATTACTGGATTTGATACTTTATTTTCCGTCAGGTAGAGGGGAGCATATTATGCCAAAATATCATAATAATATAATGTGAGTGGTTAAAATTTAAAACTAGAAAGTTATTCACATTCACTGAATACAATCCCATTTCTGCAAAATGATCCTTAAAAAATAATTTAACAGAAGCCAAACACTGTAGAAAAAAAATAATAGCTATATCATGGATAATTATAGTATAGTAACAACCTAAAGGCTCACCCAAATGGGCAGTGTTTAGAGAACTGTGATCCCTTAAATAAATGCAACAGAATGCATAGTTCTACCATTATGACACATTAAATAAATAGTATTTAGCCCTTTATAACCAGAAGATAATATTCTAATAAGTAAAACATAACACAATATTAAAGCAAGAAGATTGAAGATATGCATATCTTGTGAAGAAGCTCCTGTACACTGGTAACTGTCGAGAAAACTATAAAGACTATTCAATATTTTAGTTTATTAAGTTATTATTCATCTCCAAACTATATTAAATATTGCTACATAGTTTTTTTCTGTGAAAGATATTCCAGGTCTACTCCTGTAGTACAATTGTGAACACAAAAATCTCTTTTGTATGGTTTCTCCAGGACTTAAAACAACTGTATCATCTATTAATAATGCACGTTGAAAATCAGGTGGTTTTTCAGGAAGAGCATACTAAGCAACAAGCCTTGAACAAATACAGTTCATTACTTTTGAAAATACTATCAGTAATTTTCACTTTGCTTCTGCTAAACTCAGATGATTCCTTTTTCATTTGTTTTAGCTGAGCATTCTCTCTTTAGTGTTCCCACTCTAATAGATTTATGAGAAAATCTCAAAAAATACAAGTGCATAAACCTGAATTAAACTATAAGTAATAAATGCAATATTGGTGTAGTGACAGTATAATGAACAAAGGTCTATTATAAGTCAGAATCAACCTGGGTACAGGACAGAACAAAGCACATCCACACAGGACTCCAGGATGGGGAAAAGCTCTCTTTGAAACATTTGTATGCAAGAACTATTCACCATTACTCATGGATTATTTTAATCTTCATAAATTTCAGAAGTAAAGGTTACTTCTGCCCTTTCACAATGGTGAAACTGAAGCTCAGAGAAATGGAGAGAGTCCCCTGACCATACTGTATCTGAATACCTAGGGGTAAGTAACTCTGACTTTAGGTGACACACCTATTCATCTGCCTTTGAGATTTCAAAATATTACTGGCATTTCTGTTAACTGCTGCTCACAA